TAACCATTCACTAGAACACAAGTGATGGGATCACTTGTTATGGTTGAGATCCAATAACAGAAATTGGGTCCAAATCCGAAAGCTTTTACGCACTTTTGGAGAAACCCTCTATCAACAGTCATAAGTCTTTTCAAAATCAGCAAAGAAAAGTAAACCTGGATGTTCTTGTGCCTCACAATAATCCACAGCCTCTATAACTTTGTATTGGCTGCTCAAAAAACCTTTTTGATCTGGATGAATCAATAGAGGTGGAACTAGTTTTAACCATGTAGCCATTACTTTTGCTAAAACGTCATAATCTGTAAGCAATATCAAGATATGAAGCCAATTGCGGATAAACCTGCAGTCCTTGTCTTTCTTTGGAATTAAAGATATGTATCCTTGTCGCATGTCAAGGGGAAGATGATCAGAACCAAGAAGTTCCTTGAAAACTTTCAAAATCAAATCACTAATATACTCCTAAAAAACTTTATAGAATTCAGCAGGTAAGCCATCAATCCTGGGTGTCTTACCATTAGGCATTGTAAGCAGGGCTTCATAGATTTTGTGTTTGTGCATTTCTCGCCCTAAATTTAAAAATTTTTCTGTGGGCAGACTAGGCATATTAAGGGAAAGTAATGTATCCTGTTCATGTTCTACTGTAGATGTATTTTCATAAAGCAATTTGTAAAAGAAATAAACATAGTTCCGTATTTCTGCCTGGTCCATAATTATTCACATGTCATCGTAGAGCTGTAGTATAAACTTCTCTTTTGCATGCTGGTTCTCCAAGGAGAAAAAGTACTTCACGGGCCACTCCCCTTCCTCAATCCATCTAACCCTGGCTCTTATCATCGCCCCTGCAGTTCATTCACTGATTAATTGGTCATGTCTATGCCTATTCTCAAACAAGCAGTTTTGGGTTTCCTTGTCATGAGGCCCTTGGGCCTGATGGCTATATAGAAACTGAATATCCTCTGTAACTTCATAAATTTCTACCATTATTGACTTCTTTTTGTGTGTGGCGTAACTGATAGTTTCATCTTGAATCCTACTCTTGAGATACTCCCACAAATGAAAAGGTGAATTTTGTAACAGAGAGTGGTCGTTTAATGTTGCAAGACTAAGTTCTGTAATTTTTGTCATACAGCAGAGAAACATTCAGTTTCCAGAAAGGTATCCAGGATCAATGAAACAAGCCATAACAAGAGGACAACAAGATGTGGATACCCAAAAGTAGTCAATCCGAGACTCCCTCAGGGGTGTTGGATTAGTAAAGGTGAACTCTTGGGACAAAGGGTGTCTTATCTGCCACATGTCCACCAGCTAAAATTCTTCAGTTGCCTCTTCGATGACAACTTGAGCTTGAAAATTTGTGACAGGGTTGCCACCCTCTTTGTCTAAGCTGACATTCAGATGCATATTCCAATCTCCAGCAATGATTACTTCAGAATTCAGAAATCCTCTTAATGCTGAAAAAAATGTTAAGAAGAGGGTAGGATCATCGGAGTTGGGCCCATACACAGCTGCTAAGGTAATCCTTGTATTGAAGACTTCAATATCTAAAATAAGATAGCAACCATCTCTATATTTTGTGATGGAGAATATTGTAAAGCTCACTGCATTTTTAAGCAAGATTGCTACACCACAACTGTTGTTGGAACCATGGGAATAAATTACCTTTCTTTTCCACTCAGATTCCCAAACTTGAGCCAAGTCACTGGCACTGTGCATTTCTTGAAGTAAAAACAGAATGAGGCAATGAGTGAAACTACCAGAACAATTTCCTTCGCTTATTTCCAAGAGAAAATCGGGACCTAAGGCCTTTGACATTGAGGGACAAAAGGGAAATTTTCATTTCAGTAGAAGGCATGTCTCACATTCATGTGAGAATGGGGAGTACACATTGGTCAAGACTTTTCTCATGAGGCAGATAGGCAGGTCGCCCTTGAAGATCGAGTTGAGGCATCCAAATGTGCTCCATTCCATCTTCACACTCTGTTGATCTCTCCTGCAATTCTGCTGTCTGAAGATATTTGCTGTCCTAAGTAGATGTAGTTATCAACTTGTTGAAGCATGGTGTCATTAACTTAGATTTCTTTGGGTCAGACATGTTTGTTGAACATGACTTGAGATTTGGCAAGGTTCATCTTGAGGCCTGTGTTTTTGCTGGCTTCTGTGAGTTCCTTCTCTTGGTTTTATAGTTCTTTGGGAAAATAATGATGTCATCGGCAAAGTACAGGTGGCTCAGGCAGGCTCCATTAATATTGATTCCTTTCTTTTTCCAGTCAAGGGTCTTGAGACTTCTAGCATCGCTGTAAAGAGTTTAGGGGAGATAGTATCACCCTGGCAAACACCTTCTTCAATCTCAAACTTCTCCTTGTCTTGGTGCAGTTGGACAGATGCTGTCACCTTGTAGCATATGGCCTTGATGAGGTCGACATAGGTGTCCTCAATGTTCTGCATCTTCAATGCTCTGAGCATCGCTGTGGTGATGATGAAGTCGAAAACATTTACATAGCTGATGAAACCTATGCATAGTGGCATCTCATATTCCTTGGTGCATTCCAAGAGCTCTCTGACTACTTAGATGTGATCCATGGTGTTAAACCCACTCCTGAAGCCAGCCTGTTCTCTCAGTTGGGCGAAGTCAAGGGCTCCTTGGGGGCGATTGGTCAGTACTTTTGAATAAACTTTGTACAGGAGGGGTAATAGACTGATGGGTCAGTAATTCTTGAGGTCTTCTCTATCCCCTTTCTTGTGAAGGTTCGTTATATCAAGCATTAATTGTATAGGCAATTGTAACTGAGTGACACTAATTCTAACCACATTCTAGAGAAGCTTGAGAGCTGAAAGTTGTGACACAATTGCGGTCACAGTTGTGGTCCTCGATTCAGGTACTACAGTGTAGGGTGAATTGTTTAAAACAGTTCAACTCCAGTTTAAAACATTGATGCAGAGTTTCTGGAACAACATTAACTTCCTTCAATTGATTTTTTCAACATAACTGTAATCCCTGTCTATCCAAAAGATGGGAAACATGAAACATTTTAGAACATTTTTCTCAAAATTGTAACTTAAAAAAATGAGTGATAACCTGGAAAAGTTTTCACATAGGATGAGATGAACCCACTGGGTTTGTGTCTGAATTTTACAGAGTGGAATAATTTTCTTATAATATTTAACACAGCTATACTCATTTGTTTAGTTATGTTGCACTCCGTATTTTTATTTTCAATATTCAAGCTCATGTGTTATTCTTCAGTTTAATGCAGCACTTAGACCCCATTTCAGAGCATTGTACTCAATTTTAGAGGCTTGCTAATTATAGCTTTTCTAAGACAAATATGGAAATATGGAACGAAAGTCAAATATGTCCCTGTGCTGTATGGGAACGTCAACAGCGACATTAAGGAAAGCAAATGTGAAAGTTGAATTTCTTGGCTGTGCAAGAAGATTTGTGCCCTCCTGTTGAATTTTAACTCTCGTTACACATTGCTCCATGTGAAAATTCACGAATCCCTTTGTATGTGATGTCATTATTGTATTCATTGTACTAGCAATGTTTTGTTTCAGATAATTAGGAATGGAAGCTATTGATTGCAAGAATGGATGTAAATAATCTATGCTGTCATTATAAGGCTTGGTCCTTGGACCGTGTCACCATCAAAAATTGGGGAGGGCTTCCATATTCTGAAGGTAAAATTGTGGAAGGAGCATATTTTGGCACTGTAAAAAAATGCAAACAATAAATTGGTAAATATATTTCCCCAAGTTTGGAATTGAGCAATACTTTGATGTAATTGGCCATGTTTCGAAATGGACTGACGCATTTGATTTCCTAGCAAATATACTTCTCTTCATAGGTTGATTTCAAAGCTGCAGTTTAGTTGCAGTTGAATTACAGTCCAAAGATGGTCCCAGTTGCAGTCAACTGGACTTTGACTGGACTGAGATTTTGAAATCATTCTCCAGTTCCTGTTTGACTGCAGTTGGACTATAGTCCGACTACAGCTGCCACTCACCTCGGTTACTTCTCTGTTCAACTGCAGTCAGTCATGGTCCGACTTCTCACTGACCCATTCTGAACTTCCTTGTCCGTTATTGATGTAACAGAATTGAAATGGTTCAATGCCAGTCACAGATCAGTGTCATGTTCATGACTTGGTTCATCACTGGGCATGTGTTCTGCTGCATATGTCACAGCTTTAGGACTTAATCGCATGTGGGGAGCTTTATAGGCACAATTAGTGAATGGCAAAGGCAAGCAATGTATCATCCTCATTCCACCATGAGATGAGAAGGAAAAGCAAGCAGCACCAACTTAAACTCAGAGGAAGAAGAAATTAAGACTGATATGCATTTATTAGCTTACCCTTCCCCTCTAGACAGTTGCCTAAGGGTGGGTCTAATTTGAGTTCTCCAGATGCCATGAAAGAAGAAAGGCTTCAAACATATTAATTTGTTGGAACTATAGTCACACTCTGGTTTGACTAAGTCTGACTAAGATTGGACACAGACTCTTGCAACTGCAGTCTGACTTGGGTTCAAATGGCACATTTAAACTATTCTTGAATGAATACACTGAAGCCCATGGGAGGTCAGATGTCAAAAGACCTCTAACCCAGTTAACACTTTGCAGTCCAACCTCATCCCTGGGATGAAAAAACTTACATGCGATCTCTCAGGTCCTATATCATCTGTAGGATGTGCCGCTATGTTTATTTAACATCTTTACTCACTAGCCCATGCTGTTTGTTTAACATAGTTACTCACATCCTTTATTGAAACCAAGCAGTTATTGTTTACATAAGGCCAGTTTATCCAGGGCAGTGCCATCAAGAGCATTGAGTTTGGCCTGCAAAACTTAAAAATAATAGGACTGCAAAGGGTTAAGGGGCTAAAGAGATAACCCAGAGAGAAATGAATGCCAGAAGTTAACAAGGAGATAGTGATAACTGATAAGGATGAGAATTCTTCAAAGAGAAAGGAGATCACCTAGATTTGAACAAGAACCTTACTCGGAAGAGGAGATGTGGCTTCACGACGAGACGGGCCTTTCTTCCTGGCTCATTGGTGAAGGATCTCACCTTCTCCTCAATGGCAGCAACGACTTTGGCATCAAGTGCCCTTGACCCACATTTTCGTCTGGGGGCAGAGGAAGAGGGCTGCTCCTTCAGCCATCTGACAATCTCCTTCACTCTTTCCATCCTAATTCCATGAAAAAACAACAATTCTCAACCCCGAATTGAGATATCAACAAAATGGACAAGTTCTATACTCTTATATGATGAAAGCACACATTACTCATGTATTGTTCATGCATAATATACTTAATATGCATGATGCATTTTATGGAAAGTGGATGCATATTATGATCATACACTATCTTTCCAAAAGTGAAGGCTCACCAATGAGCATGGCCATTACTTCACATGTAAAAATTGAGTTTCCTTTACTGAATCACCCTTGGTATGATTGAGAGCCTGAACATGTGAAAAGTAGGTAGCTACAAATAGGAGTATTCCATCTAAGAATTAATTCCTAACAAATATATTGAGTTGGAAAGAAAGTAATGTCGTTTTTTTACAATGTACTTTTTTTTTTAAAAAACAACGGCTTGATGATAACACCACTCTAGAATATAGTTTCCTTCATTTTCAATCACCCATTCCCATCTTTTCACCAAATTTTGGATGCTACGACTGTAGAATTCAACAGGTTTTGATTTAAAAACAATTCTAATTCAGTTTTGATTTCAGCACTTATTGGACAGAAAGAGGTATAGCAACACCGATGATGAGATCTGAATAAATGATAATCAGATGGAGCAAGGTCTGGAGAGCATTGTGAATGAGGCAAAAGTTACCATTGCAGTGTCAGAAGTTTTTCCTGCATCATTCTTGCAAAATGGGGTCGCACATTATTATACAATAGCATTATACCTTTTTGATTCACCACCACAGGCCACTTTGCTATTAAAGCTTGGCTTAAATGCTCTAACTATTGTTTGGCAGTGACAGTCTGATTTGGATACAACAGTTCAAAATAAACTATGCTCTTAATATCCCACCATATGCAAAGCAAAACCTTTTGTGGATGCAAGCTGCTTTTTGGGGTGGGTAATGGGGTTTCCTCGGGATCTAACAACTGTCTTTTGTGCCGAATGTTAACATGCAGCACCCATTTCTTGTCTCCAGTCACAATTCGTTCCGGAAATGGCTCATGAGCTTACCTTGCCCTCAGAGAGGAACAAATGGAGATATGTTGCATGTGGTTGTTATCTGTAAGTTCATGTGGAACCCAAACACCAAGCTCTGAGACTTTTCCAAGCTTATTGGGGTGAGTACAAACAGTCGTATGTGTTGCATTGAGCCTGGGCAATTTTTCAAGTTGTAATCCTGGGATATGATTTCACCAAAGCTTGCAGATCTTCAATATTGATCTCAATCGGTCTACCAGAACGAGGTGAATCAGACAGATCAAAGTTCCCGGATCTGAACTTTGAAAACCACCTCTGTTCCAGATATTCAAGGCATCTTCTCCATATGCCCTGCATATGGTTTTCCTAGCTCTTGAACCTTTTTTGAACTCATAGAGCATGCAATTATGTATATGGATTTCATCTACACTCATTATTTACGCTTAAAGGAGGGCACAACTTGTTGCAGAAAAGAAAAAATAAGTGAATACACAGAAAAGGGGTCACTCCTTCATTAAACATAAAAATAAGACCCATCAACTTGTTTTTAACATGAATTAACACATTTGTTCAAGACTTAAAAAAAGACATTACTTTCTTTCCAACCCAATATTTCCATATATTTCCATTGCACAAATAGTAACTAAAAGGAGGTGCATAATACCTGCCCCTCTTCAGACAAAACCAATATAGTTTGACCAAAACAATAGTTGTCTTTTATTTATTATCATCCACAATATTACATGCAAAACTTAATCTCTGTGTTAGCAACATGTGCCTTTAAAATGCCCTAATTATTTCAGCTAAAATTTCAATAAATTTTGGAGCAAACCCACATTATCTTTCAAGGTGTGAAACACCATCACCATGTTTTCTTTTGCAATCTCAATAGAAAATTCATTACTTAATTCTTCATGCATAATTTCTTCCAATGGATCCTTTACAATTGACCCCACATGCTCACAAGCATAACTAAGATTCCCAGCCATTCTTTGGAGATAATGAAGTCAATGTCATTTTCTCGTTTCTTCTGGAGACTGGAACTTTCTGTCCTGATGGCTCTGTGCTGTTGTTGGAGCTTCGGAGATCTAAAACCTTCTAACTGAGGATCAATATCACTTAACCTTTTGAGCCCTCACCACCGCTTTACCAGTGGTAGAGAGAAATGATGTATTGCCTGATTGGCACACAAAGAAAGAATTCTGGCGTTAAAATGAAGGTACGTCATCCTGCTATTTGCATGCAAAGCATCAATCTCATCACTTTTATTACAACTATGATACTTGCACAAACATTGTATACCCATTATTAGCAAAGATATTTTTACAATTATATTTTCTACATGATTAAAAAGATTGCAGGTGTCCTAGGTGACAGTGAACCATTACTTGCACAAACATTGTATACCCATTATTAGCAAATTTTGGCCCAGGAGCTCAGGCAGAAGGCTCAAAATTGCTCAGGAACTCAGGGCTCAAAGGGTTAAGGTTTTGTTCAAGTTCCATTTTACTCAATCTTCACCTACGTTCAAATTTTTCACGATTCACTTTTTTGTAATGTATGTGGCACCCTCAGCTTCAGTATTTTTTCCAGCACACAGTCATAGTACAATGTTTGAGAAGTAATGGTTCACTGTCACCTAGGACACCTGCAATCTTTTTAATCATGTAGAAAATATAATTGTAAAAATATCATTATACTGTCTTTACATGCAACATTTACAAAGTCATTCCCTGTTATGCATGACAGACTCCAAGAGGGGGGCAACTATTAAGCAACACACTGAACCTACAAGTGCAAGTTACTTTTCAAGTTACAATTCAGAGCTTGATCAACTTGGAACTGGTCTTCTTCAAGCAGTATTCTGATGAATGGCATGGATATTTCCATCCAAGCTTGTATTGAATCTGTATCACATCAGGGAGGGTTTACACATGCTGATGTAGAAGATGTTCAGTGTGAGGAATCTTCTTAATAGGGAACTCATGTTTGTAAGAGTACTCCTAAGAAATAGAGCTCTGTATTTTCATGTGAGGATGCCAAAACTCTGGCTGGTAAGGAGCAAAGAGCATGAAATGCACTTGTGTGTAGAGTCTCATTGTAAAGGAGATGCTTCTCAAAGCTGGTGCAATAAATTCTGTGATAGTGAAATCATCCCTGCTGACACCAAATGGCCTCCCCACAGTGCACTGGTTTGCTGGTTGAGCTGTAAAGAACTTGAACTACAGTCAACTCTCAATATACTGCGACTGTTGATCTTCACTGATTTTGGTGCACACAAAATCGAAACACATGGCTTTAAAATTGAAACATTTTTTACTTGCATAAAATATGCACAAAAAATCACTTTAATTAATCCATTTCCATTCTCCAAAGAGACAGGATTAGGCAACCCTATACACCCCCCTCTAATCCCTGAAGGCCCATTCTAACACTAAGTCATCCCTCACAATCTTGCTTCCTACCATGCAACTGAAAAGAGCTGCTGGCAGCATTGCATTTTCACCACAGAATAATGATTGTGGCTTGTAGAATATGCTGCTTGGCCCAATATCGAGAAAGACTTCCATAGAATAAGACATGTTTGTGCAAACCAAGGTGTTGGCAGATGGTGGCTTGGGAGGGTGGTGCTAATATGGGAAGCCTATAGGGAAGATTTATTTTCAGGAAAGAGTTGGCAATAAGCAAGTGTGGTGGTATATCAGGTGGCAGTATATTGAGGGTTGACTGTTGAATTTAACATCTGGAGGTTGGGGGCCATTTTATGCTCCTGAGTCAAGAAATGTTATGCTAATTATGACTCTTTTTTGGTCGTTCCTTCCGAAGTATTTTTCGCCCCACACTAATATTATACCAAACTGCTCAGGATGAGCAGAAAAATCTATTGGTACCATATACGGCACCAAAAAAAAATGTAGGTGACTTTGGAATCACCCTGTATATTAGATGAACTGTGGATAGCCAGACGAAACATACATACCCATGAACATCTGTAGGGAAGATGTCACTTGCAAAGAAGATGTCATTGCCGGTGTTATCAGCAAGGAACTCAAAGAGATCAGGAAAAGCCTCCAAGTAATCCTTAATGACAGCAATGGCTTGAGATGAGTACAGCCACACATTCTCCCTGTCCTTCCGAGTGAATCCTTCCACCTGCAGGCAATATCAATAATTCACTTAAATATACAGTGGAGTGCAAAAAAATACTGTTAAACAGAACTTTCCAGTAGTACATAAGCCTATCAAAAAGTTCCCAGAATGGCCTTCATACAAGCAAACTATACATGGAAGTTAGGTTTCAGTGAAATTCCCTTCAAATTTGTTCCCTTAGCTTGTGATACACTTCTCCCAACGTTTATGATGCGTTCGGAACACTGGTTGTATCTCTTTTTTGCCAACTTCCTTCAACGTGTTGGTCACAACAGACTGGAAAGCATATGTGTAGCTGAGAGAGCAGCCTTTCAGAATGAAATTCTTCCCAAAAAACAGTGTAATTTCTAATTCTAATTCTTCTCTGAGTTGTATAAGCAATTTTGCTAACAGCAGAAATCCATTGAAGGTGACAAACTCAGTGAACGACTATGGAAAAACCATAATGAGCAAACTGTCCAGGCTCTTTCTGAGCTTGTCCACAGTGAACAACAGCTATCAAACGGTACCACGGCTGTGCCACAGAATTTCTAACCAACCGTGAGAAGGTATTACTCCCAGGGGCTATATACAGCAGCAAGGGGCTATATACAGACAAACCTAGAAAAGTTTTGTCGTCTGCTGAAAATGGTGCATGATTTGAATGTTAACCATTTGTTGACAGTAATTTTTGGTGAATGAATACCATATGAAGCCTATCAAACATATGTATAATTCTTCCATAATATGCAGCTCTGGTTTCACCACACTTGGTGTATAATATAATATAATATATTTATTGTCCTTGGATTCAAGTTGTCAGGAAATGGAAACAGAAATCAAAGCACTCAATTACAAGGGCTAGAGGTTAAGAAGAAGAGGGAGATGGAGAGCATTCAAGGTTTCAGAGTGTGATCAAATCTCCTCTTTAGACCTTGCACAGGAAAGTCTCATGAAGTAGCCCTTTAGCTGCAGGAATGCTGGTTCTTTTCTTGTGTGTGTTGTAATTGTAGTGGAGATCACAGATCGATGTTACTTTGTACAGATAGTGGTTTGGTTCACAGGCATTGCTCCATATCCATGATAGGGGTTGTGCCAAGATTCTCGCCCTGGCTTCCCTTCCCATGCATCCCAGGGGTCCCTGGACCCCCAGGATGCACAGGCTGCTGGATTGAATATCATACTGCTTGGTTATGCTAAGTCGGCAAATACACAGATTGCTGAACTTTTACTTTTGGGGAACCCTTCAAGATTCCCTTGTGCTTCACTTGGAAAGTAATCCCCTCAATTATCAGGGGACCTTTCCATATCAGACTTGAGGGTCCTGGGGAACCCTACAGCAAGAAACTTAGTGCAATCCCTGCTTGAGGCTGCTGCTTGCACTTGCTTCATCACCCTGGTTTCCAGCACTACATGTGTTGTATGCATGATGTGGGCTAGCTGTCGAAGGATGCAATTAATAAATTTATCATCTTCCTTTCTTGCTTGTGCCAGAAAGATAGGGACACAGTAAAGAAGACAGGGAATAATGCAAAAGCACAGGATGTCTTCAACTGCCTTGGAATTTTGGCACAATCTTAATAACTGTATTGCATGGAAAGATTGGCTGTAAAAAATTTTTTCAGGCACTCAATGTGAAGACTTAAGTTCAGCTGATGGTCAATGTTCACACATAGGTACTTGGATGACAGACAGGGTGTGAGTAGAGCTCCATATATGCAGATTTTCTCTTCACATATCTCCTGAAGGACAGGGTTTTTCAGTTTATTAGAGCAAAAGACTAGCTCTTGTGACTTTGTGGGGTTGAAGATGAGGCAGTGTTCCTTTGACCAGGAGATGTGATTTACCAGATTTTGATAGCTGTCCATGTCTTGAGTGTTGGAGATTTTTGCTATTACAGCTATGTCATCTGTATACTTCAGTATTATGCAGCATTCCATGTTGGTTCGTAGATCATCAGTGATTAAGGTGAAGAGTTTTGGTGAAAGCACTGCTCCTTGTATGACCCCAGTCCGGCAGGGTTTGGGTAGTGATGATTTTTTTCCTGTTGATACATACTGAGTGACATTGTTCAGGTAGTTATACTACATGGTATGAGCAGGAGCCAGTGAGGAGCATCAGAGTAAATGAGCTTGTCTATTATGTCCTGACATTTGACTGTGTTGAACACACTGCTGTAGTCTAGGAATAAACATCTGACAATTTTTGGCTTTTGTTTATCCAAGTTGATCTGCACTTCATTTACAAGGGATAAGATGGCATCTTCAGTACCCGAGTTATTCTTATATGCAAACTGGCAGGGATCTTTTCCTGTCATGCCATAAGTTTGCAAGCAGTCACGGAGATAGGATTCCAGGCATTTCATCAGAGGGGATGTGATTCCCACTGGTCAGTAGTCCTTAGGTTCCTTTGGCTTTGGTACTTTAGGAAGGGGATGACCTTAATGCACTTCCAGCACTTTGGGATATATTTTTGTGCAAATGACTGCTTGAAGATCATTTTTAGAGGCTCTATCAGGTTTTGGGCACAAGATTTAAGGAGGTATGAAATTAGTCCATCTGGGCTTGTGGCTTGACTTAGTTTCAGGCACTTTAAAAGAGAGAGCACTTCATGGTCTGAGAGGGGAGTGTGGTCTTCATGAGAAGTGAGATATGTTGGGTGGTATTGCACCCAATTTTGGAAAGCTGCAAAATATTGTGATCTAACAGTGCTTGAGAGTCTAGTGGCGAGCTATGAAAATGACAAAAGAGGAGTCCTTGTAGACTTACATATGAGAAGCATTTAGAAATGTTGAAACACTTCTCACTCAAATAAAGGCAAATGAGGGAGGATTTTATTCAGGCTCTTAAGATCATTAAGGGAATTGATGAAGCACATCTTAACCCTTTGAGTGGTAAGTTTTTTTCGTGCTCCTAGGATGTTTGGACTAAATAATTTAGAGGTCCTTCAATGATAAGTTTATTGAATGTTTTTGTTCATAATGTAAAAGGTAATTGTCAATTGTAGTGGATGAAAGGCAAAAAGTGCAGTGAACTCAAAAAGGGTAATTTAACCCTTTGACGAGTATGCCCGTATATATAAAGGCTGACATCCTCCTGCCCTCCATGTATTCACTACGGGTGATCTAGGCATTAAAAAAACCCACTCCTCAAAGGATTAAACAAAATGTGAAACTAAAATTTCATTTAAATTTTGAAAATGTATATTTAGGGGCTTACTACTCAAAGGGTTTATGTCCCTATCCAAACCTTGAGCCTCAAAAGCCTGGGAAATATGGAGATTCCATTAGAGCAATTCCAGTTATATGGCTTTCCATCAACAATAATATTGACATACTGACAATAGGCAATATCTAACCTAACCAATATAGACCTGAGAAGGGGCCAATATGAACTTTCTAAATATAAAGGAATCAGTTTGCTAACCACATGGTCAAATGTCAGGTCAAGGTTCACCAAACATAGCCACATTATCAACTTCAAATTCCATTTCTCACACCACAGGGGTGAAATTAGCAGTTCAACAGACAGTCCTTCAAAGCTCACTAAGAGCTATGAGGTTATCTACAAAGTCCACCAGGACAGAAGCTGACACCAGTCCTTCCACATAAACTAATGGTTCAGGAAATTTTTCAGATATTGTGACAATCTCATTTTAAAATTAAAATGAATGTTTAAATTTTGAATTTTCATGTTTGGGAATATACATGATTGATAAGCCCTTTCAATAGTGTTCATCAGATACCTCATTTAAAGTTTTATGATTTCAAGGGAAAAAGAAGCTAATTCTGAGGAACAAATCATAAGTCACTTTTGGAGCGTGAAAAGCATTTCTTCCCTACTAGATATTAGATCAGTAAAAAGCAAGGGAAACATCCTCTTACCTCCTCATTCTTGCGGTTAAACTTAAGATTGAGGCCAAAGTTGATGCGGTTCCCATTGGGATTATGATTGTCTTTAGAGCCAGGGATGATATAGATGGAGCCTGTGAGGCGGGACAGGAGATGAGATGAGATCCCCAGCTTCTGTGCTGCCTGATATCCTATTAGTATCACAGATCAGCAAGTGAGTGCATAAGGTAATAATTTCCCCTATAGATGAGGGAAGACTGACCAGGGACATAGGGGAGCTCAAGGGCAGACTTCTTCTTCTTAATTGCACTGAGATCTGGCTCTGGAACATCAGTCACCAGCACTCTCACCTTCCCAGATTTGCCCTCTACACTCTCCACTTCTATAACCTTTGGAAAAGCAAAATGAAAACCTCTGCAAACATGAAGATGATGAACCAGCATCAGAACGAACAGTAGTTCCCAATCTATGGACTGCAACTCATCCATGAGTTGATATGGAGTCTTGTTTAGGTCACTTGGCCCAGGATACATGAAACATAGGTTTAGCTTCTGTTACACAGTGTTTTCCCACCTGTATAATTATCTATTGGCCAACAACCTTCCTTATGGGTAACAGAGCAAACCAAATCAGTGTCATTCTGTCAAAAAGGTTGGCAACTCCTGTGATAGAGTCCATTCCATATTACAAGTATTTTCTTGGCAAAATGAGAGCTGAATCTTCCACCATATACTGAATTCCCTAAGTATACATATCTCCAAGGAAAGCAGATATATCACATCAATATTGAGCAAACAAAAGGCTTAAAGTTATCAGAAGGGAGCAGATCTGTATGCATATGCATATTTTTTCTGCACTCTCCTAGGAACATGCAACCCAGATGAGATCATGTCTCATTGGTAGAGAAAGCTATTTCTACCATTTTAAAAACACATAAAAATGCAAATTTTCACAACTTTCTTAGCATGTGCATATTTATGCACATTTTTCCCATTTTTATGGATAAATAAGGATTTCCAGGAAAATGTGTTTTCTTTATGGGCTACCGATTAAAACTTCCAAGCAATTATGAAATGCAACCAGTGGCATAGCAATGGATGGGGGAGGGAGGGTTGAGGTGTTGAAGCCCCCTAACTCTATTCTAAGTTCATTCATCACCTCCACCCCTTCTGAGAAGTTTTTTTGGATATTCTAGCCCCCTTTCATTTCCCTTAGCCCTCCATTGATGAATTCCTGGCTTTGCCACTGGCTGTGACAAGAATAGACCAACAACACCCAGTAGAGGTATGAAATATACATTGAAGTTCCTTCTTTAAAAAAATTTGTACATTTAACCCCTTGACCACGGGATTGAGGCTGGAATAATACTGTTGGGATGCTGGGCTGGCTCAGCCCAGCATTCCAACGGTATTATTCCAGCCTCAGCCAGGCGCTAAGTCCCACAACATAAATATACATCACCCATAGGAAGGTATAGAGAAACAGGTATGAAGAACGAAAAACAGGTAGAGCTATGATTTTCATCATAGCTCTACAACTTTGAAAATCGAGATAATAAATAGCGTATATAAACATCATCCATAGGATAGGGGTTAAAAAAACCTGCATTTGCATATTTCTCCACATTCAAGCATATTTCTTGCATATTTTGGCATTTTTATGTGCATATCCATATGCATATTTTAGTACTTATTAGCTCATAAAAATCTGCTCCCTACTTATCAGTCTCCCATATTGGAGAGTTCATACTTTCATTCATGACAACTCTGCTGACCAATACTGCTGACTTGATCCAAGACTAGTTTTTCTAATATCCTAAAGTCTTTTGTACCAAAAAGGCAGTGAAAAGATAGGGGATGGTACATATTTACCTCTCCCATGCAGCCATAATGAGGTTGTGCAAGCATGAAACAGGTGCTTCCTTTAGAGAATATGTCCTCCAATGTCTTGAACTGAGTGAAAGAGGGATCATGAAATGCAATGTCCTTGACTGTAGTCTGCAATGCATATGATGAGCTGGCATGGGCAAACTGTTTCTCCAAGGTGATCCTCCCCTGATGGCCAAAAGTGTACTTGCGACCAATCAGAGGGCAGGCTCGAATCATGATCTTTGTCTCCCCAATCTCGATTCCTCTTTTCTCCCTCTGACTGCTCAAATAAAGAACATCAACACCATTTCAATGAAAACAGAGCCAAGAGCCAGACATAGATTGTGGATGTGTGAAAAACCATTCTGAGGTTTCCACTTGGACAGGCCTCTCATTTGACTTCCTTAACCCATTGAGCAGTATGGCTGTACGAGTACGTCCTGCAATTCCGTATTCAAATTGCCACATTTGTATAGAAGCCGTCAGTTTGAGGTAAAAACTGTTTATGTTAAAAAAAAAGTAAAAAATTCTGAGCTGGAGCCCGTCTGCAAAAAAAACCTCACTCCTGGGGGCATGGTCAGTCAGAAAAAAACTCACCATTCAATGGGTTAATGGGGAAGTAAACAGACCCTTATATTGAATTTTAGCCTTGCCATTGCAAGGGAAGAGGCTGGCATGTAAATCCCTCCTCCCTTCTTCTCATGAATAAAGAACAAAATAGATCACTGGTTCCTTGCCCTTTTCTTGTCAATGTGATCACCAATTTTGGCATCATAATGATCTAAATCTACCAAGAACAAGATATAAGATAAGGGGGTTTCCCATGAAAAGTTTTTCATACCTTCACAATGATACAATGGCATGAGACCCCTACTTGGGGAAATTTATACATAGCACTAGAGTGTCTCAGCTCAAGTATTTACATTTTCTGCAGCTTTTTCTGCTTCTACAGAGTGGCCCAAAAGTAACTTGACACTTTTATGTTTAAATTATTTTTGGATATTGATACTCATCATTTGTAATGTAAAATTCTGTACATGTTGTTACAGGTTTGAAGATATTATGGAATCCTTAATATGTGACACCTAAGAAAGCAGCAACAAACTCTTATTAATGCAACATTTTATATCAATAAACATTTGGACTTAAAAGTGTCAAGTTACTTTTGGGCCACCCTGTTAATTTACTGAAGTTTATATTACAGTATACTAGTCTTGCATGAGTGTAATCACATGGGATGGAGACTGGAGAGAGAAAAACTACACTAGAGGTGTCTACAGGGTGTGCCAAAAAAATAAGCACCAATTTTTCAGCTTATATCTCAGGACTGGTAAGAGGTAGAGGAATGAAGCAGGACTAGGAAAGAGCATTTAATTTGGCTTTTAAATGAAGAAATTTTTATTTCAAATTTCCTTTTTTAATTTGTATATAATCACTATTTTAAAAGTTCAAAAAATACGAAGCTATCATCCATGATTAGGAAACTCATTCATTAATTGAGGAGCTCTCTAGAAAAAGGGCATATGTGCAAAAGATGTAATTTGAGATAAACAATAAAAACTTCCCATACCTAATCTGAAGCTGGTCAAAACTTAATTGTCAGTAAAATGGTTTCTTAGACCTTTTTCCAATTGAACTTGAGGTTTGAACAAATTTCTTTCTCTCATATTGCTGGGATGCAGACAGAAAGTGCTTATGCACATACACCCTTTTTCCACATCCACACTGTTTAAATTTTCCAACAAGTCTTTCACCATTTCTTTCTAATTAAAAATAATAATTAATCAATAAATGCATCTACAGATTTCAAATAAACTCTTGCTTGAAAAATAGCAATGAAAATGTGAATAGTCAGGACATGTTCCATTCACCAAATACTCAGCAGTGACCCATTATTAATGAATACTCATCTGACTCTTCAACTATTTCACAGATATCTCCAACTTCTCACATCCTTCCAGAAGCTTGAATGACTGGGCCTCTTTCTTTCCCTTACTTCGTGTTTGGTTTCTTCCTCATTTTCACTTTCAGTTTAAAAGGATGAAATAATTCCACCAAAATCGTTCAGCATGCAAGTGCTAATGGAATATTCAATGGAGGCAGCCATATTGAAATTACCAGGCAGTTGGCCTGCTTTTCAGTGAGAGCATAGAAAAATCTGCTTCTCCTTTGCTGACCACTACTACTAGCTGACCACCCTATCCTAAGACTAGTCACCTAAAGCAACACATGGACACGGATATGGAAAAAGGGCATATGGGCACATACGCCCCTTTTCCAGAGAACTCCTCAATTGATTCAGAGAGCATTGCTTCTCATCATGCAAAGATTTAATCAGAGCATTGTTTGATTACCTCAAAATCATCACGAATCTTCAAAGTTCCAGAGCAAACCATAGCTACTTTGAAACTGCACACCAAGAAGAGTGATACAACACTCTAGTATTCAATGGACAAGCTGCCTACCCAATGCTGAGAATGCCCAACAGTAAGCAGAAACACAGAAAGCGCACTGCTCAAGGTCATGCCACTGTTGCAGCCACAGCAACTCACTTTTCGCAAGGGGTTTGAAAAGTAACCATTCAAAGTTTTCATGTTATCTTTTGTTGACAAATGGGGTACCATTTTAAAGCTAAGAAATGCCTTTTCTTATGGAAGCACCAGAGTTCCAAAACACTGCACTGTTCCTGAAATACAAGCAGAGAAAAATCGGTGCAGTTTATTCGCCCATCCTGCATATTCCTTGCCCTTTAGAAATAGTAAAATGAGTCACATTTCCTGATCTTACAACAGAAACATAGTGTAACCTTTGCCTACATCGACTTGTCTGTTCTGCAGGAATCTTGCATAACAAAGTCATCATTCCACGATTTATTTTACCTCACTTTTTCTTTTTCTTATTTTCTGCAAGTTTTCATATTCTTCTTCCCTTCCCTTCTCACTCTTTTTTTCACCTGGCGACACTTTTGATGTAACTGTCTAAAATATTTGTCTTTACTACATAGAACTGATTCTGTAGAGTGACAAGCACATCAAAAGTTATTGCTTCCTGAAAACCCAGTGAAGAAATTACTTCTCTTCCGTTGTTATTCTCCAATATGAACTGACATGATAGGATGCAGGAAACTGGATGCTCCAAAAAGGTATTCCCCAAATGATGCTGTAGCTGTGATAAGCATCCCATAACCTTTTCTCCTTCATATTTTAAGCTTGCATGTTTAAAAAATTTGCTTTCCAAATTTTCCTAACACTAGAACACACTTGCAAAATGAAATATTTTATCATGTTCATGCTTGATTGAAAATGTCAGTTGATGCATAGATTGACAAGCATAAGAACGTACTGTTCAGAGATCATCTTGACCGTGGAGCGAACGAGAGCAACTTCTTGCTGACTCATTTTCTCTTGAACTATCTCCTTCCCTTGCAAATGGAGACTCCATTCCTCATTGCATACTCCAATTACTCTGTGGAATAGAGGTATTAACATTAAAACTTGACTTGATTTGATGAAGATTGACTTGACTTAAGTTCTGTAAGTTTTCAACATCCTGTTCCATGCATGATTTTTGATACTTTTATGTCCATTAAGTGGAATTGTAAAAAGTGCCCATCAGAACATGCATTAACCTTTCAGGCATGGTAGTAACAAATGATGACCACCTCTCTCTGACTTTTCCTTCTCTACATGCATAGAGATAAGCTGCATTAGTCACCATCACCCATACCTCAAGTAGCTGATAGTAATGTGGACAGAAATTTTTAGAGATAATTACTTCTTTCTAGGTCAAATACAGTTACTTAATGTATAAGTGAAAAATGTTTTACCTAACAGGGTTCTCAAAGGGTTAAAACAGTTCTTCAAGTTCATCTGAAGCAAAATGAAATTAGGTCACCACTTCATTCAATGAAATCAAGACATGAATTTTCTGGGAAAAACATAAGCTTGATTTTTACCAAGACATTGAGGTTGTTAAGTTCACTTTTACAAATTACTACTGGTAACTTGAATAACCATGGCACAAAGCTTTAAAAAATAATTTCAAATAGCTTTTAAAACAGGGGTCTTTCTACTTATATTGGGTCGATCGGAAAGTTCTGGTCGTTTTGAGAATTTTCCAGAAAAAAAATTTCTGGAACTTTCTCAAACCTTCCACAGTAGCAGTATATAAAGGGTGTGTGGGCGTGATTACGCAGCAGTTGCTTAGTCGTTCAAAGCCAATAACCATGACTTCCAAAATTGACTTTAACAAGACCACCCAATGTCAGTGTCTTCTTTACATCTTCCTATCTGGCATCACAGCAGCTGAATCGAGTCGCTGCATCTGCGCCACGTTTGGCCAAGGTGCGGTTTATGAGAGGACAGTGCAATGATGGTTCAATCGTTTCCGGTCTGGAAATTACAGTCTCGAGGATGAGCCCAGGTCAGGCCGCCCATCTGAAATCGACGACGAGCAGTTGCAGCACACAGTGGAAGTCAATCTGAGGAAAAGTACCTGCAACTTAACGACAGCACTTGGCAGTGCCCAGTCCACAATTGTGATGCACCTGGCTGCAATCAGCAAGAAGAGCAAGTTGGGTCAGTGGGTGCCTCATGATCTGATCGACTGTGAAGGCCATGCTGAGGTGTGCACTTCGCTGCTGTTGTACAAGCGCACAAACAACTGGCTGGATTCCATAGTCACTGGAGACGAAAAGTGGATGCCGTACGTCAACTACTGACGCAGGTGCCAGTGGGTCGATGCTGATGCCCAGCCAGAGCCGGAGCCGAAAGGTGACCTGCACCCCCGAAAAGTCATGTTGTGCATTTGGTGGGATGTGCAAGGTGTGATAGACTTTGAGCTGCTCCTGCATGATACCAGCATCACTGCCGCCTACTACTGCGATCAGCTGCAGAAGCTCGCCAACAAACTCCGCACGGTGAGGCCAGGGCATCGTCATGTTCGATTCCTGCACGACAACACAAGGTCGCATGTCATGAAGATCACACGGCAGAAACTGCTGGATCTGGGCTGGGAGGTTCTGCCTCATCCTCCATATAGCTCAGATCTTGCGCCAACCAACTACCACCTCTTCCGCACTCTGGACAACCATCTTCGCCAGAAAAGGTTCAACGATGACGCCAAGGTTGAAAACTGGCTGACTGATTTTTTCGACTCACAGCCAGCTCAATTCTACAGGGCTGGAATCAGGAGTCTGCCTGATCATTGGCAGAAGGTGATTGACTGTGATGGCAATTACTTCATTGAATGAACTATTTTGCTTTTTTAGAAAACTCAGTTGTATGGAATGTTCTCAAAACGGCCAGAATTTTCCGATTGACCCAATATTTTCATGAAACACAACTGCATAAAATACAAGCAATTTCCTAGTAACTTCAAAAAATTATAAATTCCATGAAACAGGAGACTGACCTTCCTTGAATGATAAGGAATGCATCCTCACAGTAGCAATAAGAGCTCCTTTTGCTAATTTTTGCTGAAAAACAACTGTCATTTAAATCAAAGGTGCTACAATAAGCTAGTTAACTGCTTGAAAAGTGAAGAATTGGCTTCTTAAAAATGATTTACTCCAGGTGCCGTCTCCTAGAATTTTTCTTTGGTCAAACAATAATTTATTTTGAAAAAATTAGCATCATACAAAACTTTAACTGATTAACTTCAACTATTACATCTGAACATTATGGTTCTCCTGTTACTAATTCTACTTCTAAAGGCCAGGTACTAATGGACCATACTGCTCAAAAAGGCTGCTCCAAAAAATTGAGCTTTGTTTCTTCACTGAAGGAAAACTTCAGCTAAAAACAAATATTAAATTGCCTTCAAGATTTGGTAACTATTTTGGTTCATTAATACGTCATTAACAATATATATTCCAACAACATCACATTTTTAAAAATTCCTCTGAGGTGTTATTGCTTCCCCATCATAATATACAATATGTGAATAAGCACCTCAATGGCTTTTGGTCAGGGTGAAAGCCCAACCAAAGTAACCTGATCTAATGACTGACTGATCCATGGCATGTAGAGGGTTTTTATAAAGTTAGTTGTCGTATTGAAACGTCTGTTATTCGAAAACCATACACCAGGAGCATGTCAAAATCAGTAGATAAGCTAATAGGACAATGGGATAAGCTAATAGGCAATTCCAATCTCAAAATAAATGCCACAAAGGGGGGGTGGGGGGGGGGGTGCTGTTACACTCAACTTGCATTCGGGTAGTGAAAAAACAGGAACAAAATCGCCAGCATTCATCCTACATTCAGAAATTTGCTAGCAGCAGGTTATCTTTGAACAGAAGGACTGCTCTTGTCAAACATTACTACAGCAATGGTGACAATCTTGATGAAGCATTAAGACAATATTGGTGCGAAAGTGGGGAACGAACCAGACTGGGCAGCAATTATGCTTGTCAGAATAGCTTCACTGTCTTAGACATGATCTTCCAAACTGTTGACAGTGTATTTTAATTTTTTATTTTTAGCAACCAGTATTTTTAGCAACTTGATTTATGCAACATTCCCCATGTGAATATTCTTCTGCAATATGAACTGCCACTTGTCTGACTTCTGCTGCAACCTCTAAAGGTGTTGTGGGGCAACCATTATGGAGTGCATCAGTAACTGTTCATTGTTTTTTTCTCAAAATTTTTTATGAGCTTCTGATAAATGCATAAAAGTACCCCTGGTAAAATTTTTTAATACCCTGAATTAGCCATCTCCATCATCACATAAGCATAACAAAGAATTTTGCCAGGCCATTAATGCATAGTTTTCTAATTATAGACATTTCAATAGGTCAATCAACTTCATAAGAACTCTATACTTCATGAATGCTCCTCATAATAAAAAGTCTCTGTAGTGCAATGTCCTGATTGCATGAGAGAAAAGATGAACAAGCTCTCAGCCACAAAAATGCATTTCTCATTTCCATTAGTACCAGGGACAAAGAAAACTTATGAAGAAAGAGGAGAATTAACAGAACCCACTTAGCTTCAATAAGGTGTGGCCAAGAGACAAAGATGGGGTGCCCAAGGAGATCTCTGGCCACTTCTGCAATATTTGGGGACCCTTGATTCTGAATCTCCAGAATCATGTTCTCACCACGGCTGTTCTGCTGGAACACCTTCACACCAAGACTTTTCAGGTATCCCTGCATTAAACATAAGAATCATGTTAATAAACATAGCAGGTGAGCAATATAAAAAAGTAAATCCTTAGGAAATCAGGTACCCATGCTGGGCCCTATTTTCTACATCCATGTGGCATGAGGCCACTCATTCTTAACTTAAATGGTTTTCTATCCCCAATTTTTACAAATCAAAGAACCTGGCATAGGTGACCTTCCTAAAGAGGCATAACAGGCATGAGCCTCTTTGTTGTCTCTCAACATTACCTTTACCATTACCATATCCAACTTCACTGACAACCAATCCAGGATTCCATTTCATGGGTTCAAGGGAAAGGAGAGAAGTCTAACGCAGAAACATATGTCAATATCCTACTTGGCTCATATTGATCTGAAGTTCCATTTCTATCCCAGGTTTCTTTGTCAATTCTGATAAAATTCTCAATGTGATAGTTCTACAGGCTTTCCTCACAGTTCATGCAAGAGCAAGTACAAAGGAAAATTACCTTGTGTGGGATGTGCTTGAGGGTGGGGAAACCGGGAAAGTAAACATCCAGGCGAACATTTGGACAGAGACCCTTGACGAGCTTGTCTGGTGGAACAAAGAAACTCTCTCGATGGACAGGTGTGATGATTGCATGGTGATTTGAGATGGCAGCAAAGTAGCCAGGTGTTTCATAGGGGCCCTTTGGGGACTGTGAATAGTGGAAAAGAAGGGCTGGACCATGTTTGTTCCTCTCTTGCTCCTCTATGGTCAGTTTCTCACTTAGTGGTCTCATTGCCTTCAACAGTCGATCCTAGAAACACATCCAATGCATGAATGGACGCCATCTTATTCAAGACTGACTTAACTGTTTGAGAGCCACCAACAAATGGATGGCATTCTGCAGCACCTACTGGCCATCGGCCATAATGGCCTGACAACACAGAAAAAGCTAAGAAACCATATCTCTTCAGAGTGGAGATGAGAACTTCATCCAGATTTCAATTACCTGATAACATTTCAGAGCATATCCAAGAGAGTTTGTGAATGAAATTAACCCTTTTATTACTGCATGGCTGATTTTTTGGCAAGATCTACTACTACTTCAAAAAATGCTGTAGGCTGATTTTTATGCCAACAGCAACAGGAACCCAAACTACATGAAGGAAGAAGCTGAATGAAATGCCATGGCTGAAAAAATCAGCCGTTGGCACTTTCAGCAGGAGTACACAAGGATGAAAAATTGGTCCACAGTACTGTAAGGGTTAATCCCTTCACCAGCAGGTTTTCTAGCAAAGCAGTACCCCTCACTGGCAGGTTTTTTTTTTCACATACCCTCAAGTTAAGCATCAACACTGTAACTGTTGATATCTATACATTAAAATCTCCACTGGAAAATGGGAGTCACCATTTGTGGAATGAGACAACCATTGGCTAGAGTTGAAACTAATACCCACAGGACTAGTGTAAAATACCCAGTGATGGACCGGTCCCCAGTGATGAGCCACAGCACATTAAAATTGCAACTACTAAGCTTCCACAGCATGCCTACCCTTCTTGTGACATAGGCTAGTGGCATGCAAGCACATACACACTTCAGAGGTGTTCATGCTACAAATGCCTAGTCTTTGGAATTTTCCTTAGCCATGGCCCATCAAGGAATGTGTGCCCTTAACAGGCCCATCATTGGGTGTTTTACCCTACACCAGCCAGAGAAATTCTAAGGCTTGCCAGTTAAGAAATTCAAGGAATAGAATTAAATATTTAAAAAACCAGGAAAATGCACCTCATCAATAAATGGAACTAGCACAACAGCTTCCCAGTCTTGTTGCTTCCCATTGAGATCAGTCTGAAAATCAACTGGGTAGAAGTCAATCAGGGGAGAATCCTCATCCACCATCAGACCCTGAAATGCTGCAGGTAGCAATCCCTTGCTGCAGGAGAAAAGCATGATTCAACACATTAACACAATCTCCCTCAGGACTCTGCCTTTTACCCCTTTTCTTTTTTCTGTTGGATGTAGGAACTACGTGGAAATTTTTGCAGTGAAGGCACAATGAGACAGAGGTACCTTGCTGCTGGCAAGACAGCCAGGAGCTGCTCAAATGGTAAGAATGGTTTTTCAGCATCAAAATCCAAGTTCAAGCCAGAAAATCCCTTGATGTCCGAAATGTAAGGGGCATAGTGGTGAGGGTAGAACCAGGACCATGAACAGACACCATGGTAATAGTAGTGAAGATTCCACTGGATGGCACGAACATAGCATTCTGCTTGCTCTCGTAACACCTCCCTGCATCCACAGCTCATTCATGTCAAACAATAAAATACTGAAGCATTATTAAGCCATGATACTTACGCAGTGACTTCAGCATACTCCAGCTTCTTCATGTAGTAATGCCTTTTGTGCTGCTTGAATTCAGACTTCACAAGAGGATCATCTTCTGAATCATCATCCTCTTCCTCTTCAATGTCCAAGTCTTCATCTTCTTCCAAGTCATCCTGAAGTGATGCAAGTCTTTCCTATGAATGAGACCAGGATATATGTCATCCCCATTTTAGAGAAGGATCCCCATAGTACAAAATGTCCCAGTTCACTTGGTCAATATGGAAATATTAAGTTTGGAAGGACACGATACCAAAAAGTCAAGACTCTACCAGGGTACCTTCTTGTTACCATCATAGGCTATGCCAACAATTGAGTATGACTAAGAAATGTAGGTTTTGGCAGGTAAGAATGTCAATGAAACTGACTCACTTGGTCGAACTTCTGAAAGCCTGAAGCAGGGGCCTTGTTAATCCCAAGATGGCTCACTCTCTCAGACAAATCATTGACTTCCTTCCCAGCCTGCAATGGATGAGTTCAGGCCACCATATGACATATCGCATGACCAGGAATTTGGAGGAATGCAACATTCATTTCCCTTCAATCACAAGTAAAATTCAGGGTAGAGGAGCAAGGAAATGAGTAGGGTGTAGAGATGAAAGGAACTACACAGGAGATTTGGAAAATTCCAAGACTGTTTCCTCTGCCATTCGTTCCTCTTAAGAGCCAAGTTCACGCTCTGGCTAAGATAGCATATGGTAGCAAGTATGCTAATTTGTGCAAGTTTTGGGTGTATATGTCATTTCTTGCACTTTCATGCCTTTTTCTTAAATTCAGGGTCATTCCAGAATACTGATGGAAGAAAGGCAAAAGCAGCAGGCAGTCATAGATATTTTTTGTTAAAGTGAAAAGAACAGAACAATTCTGAAAGGCTGATGCCCTGAATATAGTTTTGCCAAGTCACCAGATACATGACATCCTGCTGCACACATCCAGTCAGTCATAGAGCTGTGAGTGCAAGCCATCTCTCACCTTTGCTGATATTCAATTAAAATATTGTAGGAAACTCAATAGGTTTCCAATACTTCAAATGAGCATGCCCACTGCATCTTGCTCACCAGATTGCAATGCTAAGGTCAGTGCTGGGTTGATTCTAATTTCTGAGACCTTTTCACCCTCCTTCACCAAAATATCAATCATGGCATGTTTTTTGACCTGAGTCTCCCAGCAGTATACCAAATAACTTGGAATAAAAATTGTTTGAAAATGACAAAAACTGTGTTTTCCTTCCTTTTCCTTGCAAATAATATTGTCATTACAACAGCACACCATGACAACCATAAAAATTTCACAGTTCCAAGCAAAGCCAGGGATAGATGAAAAAGTCTGGGAACTTCTCAATTGCCCCTTATATAAAAGTGACACAGTGGACCAAGGCTTTGGTTGAATCCAGAGAATTGCTGCAACTTACTATATGTGGAGAACAAGACTTCTCCTGAGTCACTGATAAATACAGGCAAGCATACCAGTATATCACATGAGGAAAATGGGTGAATATGCTTTTTTCTTTTTTCAATGAAGGCATGAATAATCCCCCTTTTCAGATTTGAGAATAAATGAGGATTATTGATCTTTATACCAGAGAACTGAGAGTCTAAGCTCTTTGGTGTGAAAGTGAATATACTCCTAGTTTCATTCTTCTGCTTGAAAAACTGTGATTCTTGCCCCTACATTACTGCATACTTGCCCCTTTGTCAAACCAGCCATGATACAAAAATCATGTCCTTCCAATGAGTCTTGAGCCTTGCCTATTTATATGATATTTTCCAAGTAATTCATTTTTTTAAATCTCCCAAACTATAATTAGGATTGTAAAAAAAAAAAAGGCATGTGACAAACACACAGCAATGGTTATATTGGGTGGCCCATATGTTTAGAAGAAGACCGTCTACTACACTAATTTCCCAATAACATAGGTTTGTTATTTAGATTACATATTACTCTAGTTTGCTTTTTAGATCCTACTGATGACTGTCTCCATTTACAGCTGAAATGGTTCATAGACTTGCCAAAGAGAAAAGGATTTTAACCATTGGTTCATTAATCAGGTGAACTTGCTTTATGGGCCACCCAGTACCATGATACACTGAGGGAAAAGCAGCTTCAGATATGATAGATTAAACTTCTTAATCTCACCTCTTGTTTGCTCTGAAACCATTTCATGTCTGCAAAATGATCCTCAAACTCCTCATACTCCACTTTGGAAAGGGCCTCCAAGAATTTCTCAAAACGATCCAGATTCAGGTAGCCTGCATCCTGAATGTATCCTATATGAGCGTAAACCAATGATCATTCTTCTGTTTTTAAGGAGTCATACAGGGTGTCTCAAAATAATGTGTACACACTTTCATAATAACAAAATATATGTTAAGTAATTCAGGGAGGTACAAATGTGTGGAGAAGCAAGGGTTTGAATTGCATGGTTCACTACCAAAGATGTTCAAATAGTTCACCGTTAGCATCCAGGCACTGTTGACAGTTGATTGTTGGCGAGGTCTATCAGAACATCGTTTGTGCATTGCCGTACTAGCAATGTTCTGGGAGACCATGCACTGTACCATCAGCATCAAACTTATCATGAATCCTTGAAAGTTCTAGTACATCATGGTGGCATAGTTGCAAGTTCATTTCTCCACCTCCTTTGCATTTCACATGTGTTCTCAGATTTCCAGAATCACTTCAAAATCAACTTATATTGCCCTAAGGTCAAGTGAGCTTGTGTCATCTGGCGTGACACACTGTCTCGTGGGAAAAAAAATTGCCTGATGACACGCGATTATTCCATTACACATTGTCATCTGTTAGGTACTGTACATGTCACATTAAACGTCGTCCCTCTCTGAATTATTTAATATATACTCTCGATTCAAGTGTGTATACATTTTTTTGAGACACCCTGTATATTTAACGTCTTAACGGGTTGAACTTTTATCCTCAAAAGGGGATAAGTGCCCCACCTCGGCTGGTTCTTGTGAAACCTTTCTGCAGAGGATATGTATATATCCCAAAAAGGATGCATAAAAATCCGCGATTGTTGCCAAGGAGTAGTAGGGATAGAGGCCCTTCCCAAAAATATTAGGCTTGCAACCTGCTACTTATTTTGCTTTGTACATCATTAGATTCCTGGAGATAAAGAGGAAATATTGAAATGGAACACATGGCCTATATATAACATAAATATCAAAATAGCAAGAGGTTGCAAATAGCGTTTTACATTAGAACTTCCAATCAAGTTGGACCCGTTATTGAGAAGCTCATTCGGAGAAAAATAACTATTTTACTGTTGTGATTGAAAAAAAGTATTTATAACGTGGCAAGAAATAGAAAGGAGGAGAGAGCGGGAGAAAGTTGACCTTGTCGCCACCAAGAAAGGTAATTTTTGGCTCGCTCTTTGCCTCTCCTCTCGTATTTTCCCCTCTGGCTCTAGTCCATCACCTTAGTCGCTAACGGACGGGGCATCTGATAACCTAGCGTGTCGATTTCGTGCCGGTTTGAGCCCTGGAAGTTTCCTAGGCGGGAACCCATCTACGTTCAGCAGCTGTGACATTGCTTGGAGATCCTGACCGGTGAGTTGTCCGTTCATATTCTGAGAATTTAATGCAAATTACTATACAATACATTGAATACATAGGTTCTCATACCATACGTCGTTATTACTGTACCATACTCCACCACCATCACAATTTCCCGCGTTTTATCTCATTTCTAACCGTCATCTACGTTTACCTAGATGATTATAATTTTTGATGTTCGGACACTGAATTCTGAAGCATAGCTCAAATATTTCGTGCCTGACGGCATTGGGTTAGATCTTAGTGAATCTTAGAAGTCAGTTGAAGTTTTGCTCGGCTTGTTTTAGTAACATCATCATGCATCAATGCCCAATCTTTTCGTACATTTTTTTCATGCTAGGTGTTGCAGTCTCTCTGGCTCAGAAAGCGGTGATGACCATGGTGACAGTGTTTGGAGAGAGATATGAGAAGCCTCGTGTGCAGAATGATGTGGTTAGTTGGTTCATCTTTAGTTTATTCTTTTTCCTGAGAAATATAATTGACCTGGAAAATTTTCCTTCAGAGGAGCATAATGGAAAGTGCACACTGTTCACTCAAGTAAAAAAAAAATTATTAACTCAAATATGTCCACCTTTCTTAAATAAATCTATTTGTTTTTTTTTATGTTTTCCAGGATGTGGCTCTTGCAGTCCTCAAACCCTTGATTGTTGGCGAGGGCTCCCACTTCATATAGAGAGGCGGCAAGTCACGCACACCATGCCAACAAATGAGAAATATGTCAAAAGATGGTTCTGCTCCTATTGGACATACTCCATCCGTTATCCAGTAGTGGTCATCGACGTCTGTTCCATGATTGAAGGGATCGCGAAGCCAGTAGAACTTGACTTGCCGGCGAAGATCCGGAAGCTAGCCAATTTCATCAAATCTTGACGCTGTCTTGGCCATTGTTAATAGCATTCATTGTCGTGTTTTCGAATAAAAGCAATTCACGAGGGTAAGCCACAAAATTCAGTACAGCATAATTCCCTTTTTGGATAAATATTAATCCCTTCAGGAGAGGTTGGTTATTAATCCCCTTTGGGATGAATACGAATCCACTCAAGAACGGTTACTTGTGAATCCTTTCAGAGGTGAATGTCAATCCTTTAATGAGTGGGGTGAAAATCGCACTGGAGCAGATAGACGGATAAATATAGAACCTCCCAGTTACATATTTATCCTTCGCCCAAGGTTTCTTATAAAGCCGAAGGAAAGGGATTTATACAAAGCCAACAAGGATAAACATGAAACGTTAGAAAAGGTTATTTTTTAAACCCTTTCCATAGGTTTCATACAAATCCGGCCTCGGATTCATATCAGTCGGGTAAAAATCCTCAAACGGTTAAATCCCAAGTCCTTTCGGCTGACTGAAGGACAAGAATCGCTTCATTAAAAAAATTCAAATCGGAGTCGGAAGATGATTGAAACATCTTTAGGATGCAAAATGACACTTTTATGTGCAAAACGTGACTGCGTCCTTGCCCGAATAACGATTTAAGGGAACCAACGCAAAACTGCATGGAAAGCGCTGAAGCCACTCCCAACATTAATATTCTCGTGGACTCGAGATTCGAGATTTCCTCGCCTCTTTCGAAACGAGCTGCGAGGAAGCAACTTTTCCTCATCGTCCTAATTCGCATTTTGAATGAAACAATAGGCGCTTGATCTGTTCCTGTTTCCTTAAAAATTGCTTAAATAATCCGTTCACGCGAGAAGGGGGATCCCGCTGAACCAATAACGATTACCTGTCGGTTGCGAAATTTTGGGACGCCGTGCTCTCGTGCGATTCCTGGAGGATCTTCAAGAAAATCCGCTTTCCGTGAACTACGCGCGTGCAACCACAAAATTCACTGATCGTGTAGTCTCGCAAGAAGGCCAGGACGATCGCAGGGTTCTATATTTATCCCAGCTTGCGCTTTCTGCTGTGCGTTAATTATAATTAATGTCCATCGAATTCTGCGACGCCGAGCTTCGTGATTTTGGGGTCTCTGATGGCACTCCGTCCGAAATTCCAAGTCACGGTGTGACTTTGATAACTTTTTACTGTTGGGAATTCAGAACGGGAAGATTTTGGATGCTAGCAAAGCTAAATGCACTATGTTTACCCGTTCGAAATTAAGATTCAGGGAGGAACGACTTGGAAGAAAATGTTGGCAGACTGCCAAATGTGTGAGTGCCATGAACTGTCCATATTTCGGACGGCCAAAAAGGCAGTCGGTCGGAAATTTGAAGGCGAAAAAGGAAAATCCAGGTCCAGGGAAAATATCCGAACGTATGATGATCCGTAGGACGCCTTCCTCTCGGACGGAAAGAGAAGAAAGAGGGCGTGCCTGGGAAAAACCAGACGTACGGTAACCCGTAGGATTCCTGGGATTTTTTCTTGGCTGGCTTCCAACTCCATCGTGATGGAATTCTTCGGTGAGACAATAGACCGGCTCCACATCTCGGAAAAGAGTGGGCACGTGCTGATGGTTTTTTATTTTTTTAAATCTGTGTCCGGGCTGGAGGTTCTCGTCGAAAAGCGCTCTTTGATTTGCCCCGCGCTTCTCAGTTGTTGATGCTGGCTGGCGAGCACGAGATGACTTAATAACGCTCGAAATAGCTGAGGTCGGAAGCATGCCTGCGGCTTATCCTAAGATTTGCCGAACGTGCGCACGAGATCTGAAAACATCTCAGAAACTCACTCTCAAGGACTCCAAATTGTGGTTGTTTGTACGGGGAGCTCGTAAAGTCTGCACGAAATGAATATGGTAAATATGAAAATGAAAATGGCGGATCGCCATCAGGTTTCTTGACTCGTGTTTCTTGATAGGTTAAACATTTAAATAAGTTTGCATATCGCCACGGATTCAGGAGGCTGGGCGTAAAGTCAAAAAAGGTGTTCCGTGTGTCCGCCACCAATTTCTACGAGAGCTTTTACGTTCGGGAGATGTACCATTATCATTTATTGAAATTACTTTATGAACTCCCTGTACATGACAAGTGAATGTGAGCGTAAACGAAGAGGAAATCAAGTGTACCTCTGCGGTAAATTGTATCCGGCCTCCAATGCCACACTTGCGGCTTCCATGCGGCAGGTCAAAGAAGAGGTCGGCTCATAAAATGCCTCAAAGTTAAGAGAGGAACGAGAGTCCCGATTTTGGGGATCCTTTCCGCGGGAAGAGGGTGTGACGAGAAGCGATCGGGAGTCCAAAAAAGTTGGATTTTTTTTCGTGTTTTCTCTCGCTACAGCTGTGTTGCTCACTCGAGAGAATGGGAGATGGGGAGATTCTCTTGCAGAATTGACGTGGGTAAATTTTGCCTTGTCTCCGCGTGAACTTAGAATCCAGAACTTGAATCGAATCGTCCTATTTTCTTTTAATACCTGAAAGGCAACCGAGGAAGAGGGAAAATGGGGAAAGCCGAGAGATGGGCGAGGGTGTATTCCTTCGCGGTCTCACGATGACGATGGTAACAACGCCGACGATGGCGGTATTCGTGCCGATAGCGAAGGCGATAGAAATGGAAGGGCGAGACGAGGACGTCGCATCTCTCAGAAGACGATCTCGGCCGACCGAGAATGGCCGTTCTTCATCGGACGAGACCGAAACGTCCCTTTTCACCCAGATGATCCAACGGCGGCCAGGAGTGGGTTGCTCTCCTTCGCAGCCTGCCTTCCGCCATCCGTCAAGTCTCTTGTCTTTTGCTGCCGGACAGGCTTTGTCCAAAAAGTAAGATGTGGCTACGATTGGCTCGCACTGCCGTGCTTCTGGTACAGCGGATCTGGAACTTTTTAACAAAGCGACTCATATTTTGCTTCTTCCGAGACTCCACCGCCCAAAACGTAGGCTGTTGGCCGACGTGCAGGAACACAGGTGGAAGTACCAACACTGGTGTTTTTTTGCATANTCCTTCGCCCAAGGTTTCTTATAAAGCCGAAGGAAAGGGATTTATACAAAGCCAACAAGGATAAACATGAAACGTTAGAA